TTGGAGAAGACTCTTGAGAGTCCCTTGGACTGCAAGGAGATCCAACCAGTCCATCCTAAAGGAGATCAGTCCTGGGTGTTCATTGGAAGGACTGATGCTGAAGCTGAAACCCTAATACTTTGGCCACCTGATGGGAATAACTGACTTCTTGGAAAAGACTCTGGTGCTGGGGAAGATTAAAGGTGGGAGAAGAAGGGGACGACAGAGGTTGAGATGGTTGGATGGCATCACCAACTCGATGGACATGAGTTTGAGCAAGCTCCGGGAGTTGATGATGGATAGGGAAGACTGGCGTGCTGCAGTCCATGGGGTTGCAAGGAGTCGGACGCGACTGGGTGACTGAACTGAACTGAAATATATACTTCATTTTGGATTCCAGGATAATCAGGGAGCTGGTTAGCTCTCTCTCTTCTCTTTCCACTGCTATTAAAGTCCTAGTAAGCATTCTAAAATTGATGCCTTCTTATTGTGTGTTCAGTAGAGGTTTTCCAGTGTCACATAAACATGTGTAAATACACCACATTTAAATTTCATGCTGTTGCATCCATGCCGTGGAAGCCCTTCACAATATGGTGCTCATGACTGAACAACTAAATTGAACTGCATCCATGCCATAAACTGAACCTTGGTTATTTAAGGTATATATTCCTGACATTTTTTAAAGTTTTTTTTTTTTTAAAGCAAAAGCTGTTCCTTTCGTTACTATTGTCTCATCTGCTACTACCTACTGTTGTGTGAACCACAGCAGTATTAGGAAGAGATGTGTTCAGTAGCGTCCCTTTTTAGCCTGAGTTCCAGAAAGAGTTTCTTGGTGATAGGGCTTCTGACAAATTTTATAAACCTGAATTTTATGTGACTTGAACTGAATTCATGTTCTGAATTTATAAATTTTGCATGTGTTTTAAAAGAACACTTTTTAACTTATGCCGCAGTTCAGAGATAAGCTTGCTGTGGGGAAGGACTCTGGAGATCAGGAACCAGAATGCTTGGCTGTGTGGTGGTGCAGCCTCCAGCATGGATCATCGCAGTGACTTTGGGCATGGTTCCTTCCTTAGAAACAGTCTTTTTTTTAAAAAAAAACTTAAAAACTCAGTTTTGTTTTATTTCTAAGAAGACTTTCCATGGTCTGAGAGTATAAAATAAAAAATTTCCACACTCTTTTAGTTATTCTATGGTTTCATTTTTTGGTTGCTGTTGAAATATTTTCCGCATCTGGAATTTATTTTGGTGTGAAGTTTAGTTAGGGAGCTACATTAATTTTTTAGGAGCTACCTAGTCAACTATCCCAGTACTGTTTTTTTTTTTTTGAATGACCTTGTTTCTCTTCCAGTGGAAATGCACCTTTTATCAAATGTTAAAAATCTGCTTATGGTGTCTCTCTCTGAATGGATATAGTGTTTTCAGTGTTTATTTAGTCACGTTTATTATTTCACAGTAGTTTTAATTTATTTGAAGAGCTATTATGTGGAATAGAATATAGACTTATTTTGAATACTTCCACAGGTTAGAAGTAGGGTAAATGGCAGAAAATCACAGTGAGATACCTTTCAGTTCAGTAAGCTCATGTGCTTTCTCACAAAATATTTATTTCTCTAAAAATCTGTTAGTTCTTTTTTATCTGTGTAACCTCTGGCTTGATTTTATGTCATGCCTAAAATGCCCCTCCTGTTAACTTTTGTTTTCCTATGTTTTCTCTTCCTGTTTTCCTGTAGGTACTACTAAAAATTTTAGACCAGTATAGGCAGAAAGAGTATGTAGCGCCCCGTGTTCTTCAGCAAGCTTTCAACTATCTCAACCAAGGAATTGTTCATTCCGTGACCTGGAAGCAGATGAAGCCACACATACAGGTTAGTGTCAGTGAGCAGGTCTCCAAAATTATCCTCTGGTTAAAAATTTTCTAGACAAGGTCAGTATTAACTAATCCAATATTTTATATTTAACATATTTTTGTTTGCATGAATAATTTCAGAAGAGTATCTTATGTTTCATATAAGAGTTTAGAAGTTTAAATATTTGAGAAGAATGAGGCCTTCAAGTTAAAGGAGTTGATCTTGGTTGGAATCTCATTTAGCCTCTGTTTTTCCTCTGCTATGTCAGATAGTATTTTTCTACCCTCCTTACCTGCAAGTTTCTAGGATCAATTGAGGTATTTTGTATAATAGCATTTTGAAAACAGTCACCCGGGCTGTAGTTAAGGTAGTGTTCTTTTGTAGGAAATGCAGCCTGATACATGACCATTTTCTTTTGTAGGTTTTTATTTCTCTTTTTAGGTTGTTAAATTCTACAGCAAAAGTTAAAGTTTTCTGTTTGTATCAATTTTACTTAAAGGTAGAATTCAGCATTGTTATTAAGGAACAAATCAATGAGCATCTGGAATTTATTTTGGTGTGAAGTTTAGTTAGGGAGCTACATTAATTTTTTAGGAGCTACCTAGTCAACTATCCCAGTACTGTTTTTTTTTTTTTTGAATGACCTTGTTTCTCTTCCAGTGGAAATGCACCTTTTATCAAATGTTAAAAATCTGCTTATGGTGTCTCTCTCTGAATGGATATAGTGTTTTCAGTGTTTATTTAGTCACGTTTATTATTTCACAGTAGTTTTAATTTATTTGAAGAGCTATTATGTGGAATAGAATATAGACTTATTTTGAATACTTCCACAGGTTAGAAGTAGGGTAAATGGCAGAAAATCACAGTGAGATACCTTTCAGTTCAGTAAGCTCATGTGCTTTCTCACAAAATATTTATTTCTCTAAAAATCTGTTAGTTCTTTTTTATCTGTGTAACCTCTGGCTTGATTTTATGTCATGCCTAAAATGCCCCTCCTGTTAACTTTTGTTTTCCTATGTTTTCTCTTCCTGTTTTCCTGTAGGTACTACTAAAAATTTTAGACCAGTATAGGCAGAAAGAGTATGTAGCGCCCCGTGTTCTTCAGCAAGCTTTCAACTATCTCAACCAAGGAATTGTTCATTCCGTGACCTGGAAGCAGATGAAGCCACACATACAGGTTAGTGTCAGTGAGCAGGTCTCCAAAATTATCCTCTGGTTAAAAATTTTCTAGACAAGGTCAGTATTAACTAATCCAATATTTTATATTTAACATATTTTTGTTTGCATGAATAATTTCAGAAGAGTATCTTATGTTTCATATAAGAGTTTAGAAGTTTAAATATTTGAGAAGAATGAGGCCTTCAAGTTAAAGGAGTTGATCTTGGTTGGAATCTCATTTAGCCTCTGTTTTTCCTCTGCTATGTCAGATAGTATTTTTCTACCCTCCTTACCTGCAAGTTTCTAGGATCAATTGAGGTATTTTGTATAATAGCATTTTGAAAACAGTCACCCGGGCTGTAGTTAAGGTAGTGTTCTTTTGTAGGAAATGCAGCCTGATACATGACCATTTTCTTTTGTAGGTTTTTATTTCTCTTTTTAGGTTGTTAAATTCTACAGCAAAAGTTAAAGTTTTCTGTTTGTATCAATTTTACTTAAAGGTAGAATTCAGCATTGTTATTAAGGAACAAATCAATGAAAAATTAGGACCATTGATAAAGTAATATTTACATACAGATAACTGGATAATTTGAAGATGTTAGGAACTAAATTTTTCCTCTCAAAGGATGCATTCTTTAATTCTGTAATCTCTTAAGATGGTAGCTGAAAAGTAAAGCAAATTCTTTTACTTTGTCTTTGGTGTCTAGGATAGATTTTGTTTAGTGTTAATACAGATCTTAAAGATCTGTTAGAAACATTAGTATGACAGTTTGGAAAACTAACTTACTAAAGCCTTTCATTATTGATATTCCCCAAATGTGAATACTCTATATCCATTTATTGGTTTGTTTTTTCTCTTAGAATATCTCTGAAGATGTGATTTTTTCTGTGATGTGCTATAAAGATGAGGATGAAGAACTGTGGCAGGAAGATCCATATGAATATATAAGGATGAAATTTGGTAATTGAGATGATTTTATTCCAATCAGTTCCTGGTTATATGAAGTAGTATAACTAAATTTATACTTTTAAGTAGATTTATTACTTTGTGAAATTCCCAAAGTTCTGCTTTGCATGATAAACTCCAAAACTCGTGAAAGTTTGATGTTCTGTTGAGCCAGTGGTCTTGAGATGAGAAGCTACTTTACTCATCTAACCCTCTCAAGGATGCTGAAGCAGTACTGGTCTCTATACAGCTCTTTCTGTTGTGATGCTGATCTGCAGAGTCCATTCCTTTCTGTGCCTTTTGGGCTACTCATTTGGGTTTGTTCTTGGTCTGGGAGATTCTTTGCATTTCTGCATATTTTAGGAATGCCCCCAATATAGCTTGTGTCCTTATCATAGGGATTAAATGTTCCTCAGGGGAATGAAATTACTTATGTTGACACCAGTGTGTGGCCCTGTTCTCTGTGGGTCCTTTTAGCCTTGCATCTTCCTGGAAGCTGCTGAACTCTGTAGGTTGCCTGAATTCATTCCCCCTTATTCCCAGTATGAATTAATCACTTCATGGATACTCAGGCAGTTAGTATAGGAAGATGTTATTTGTGTACCTGTTTCTCCCACAGTGAAGAAGCTATCTGAGGGCAGGGACTATCTTCAGTTCAGTCCAGTTCAGCCGCTCAGTTGTGTCTTACTCTTTGCGACCCCATGGACTGCAGCATGCCAGTCTTCCCTATCCATCACCAACTCCCGGAGCTTGCTCAAACTCATGTCCAGTGAGTTGGTGATGCCATCCAGCCATCTCATCCTCTGTCGTCCCCTTCTCCTCCTGCCTTCAATCTTCCCTAGGATCAGGGTCTTTTCAAGAGAGTCAGTTCTTTGCATCAAGTGGCCAAAATATTGCAATTTCAGCTTCAGCATCAGTCCTTCCAATGAATACTCAGGACTGATTTCCTCTGGGATTAACTGGTTTGATCTCCTTGCAGTCCAGGGGACTCTCAAGAGTCTTCTCCAGCACCACAGTTCAAAAGCATCAATTCTTCAGTGCTCAGCTTTCTTATGGTCCAACTCTTACATCCTTACATGACTACTGGAAAAATCATAGCTTTGACTGGATGGACCATTGTTGGCAAAGTAATGTCTCTGCTTTTTGATATGTTGTCTAGGTTTATCATAGCTTTTCTTCCAAGGAGCAAGCGCCTTTTAATTTCATGGCTGCGTCACCATCTGCAGTGATTTTGGAGCCCAAGAAAATAAAAGTCTGGCGCTGTTTCCATTTTTCCCCACGCTATTTGCCATGAAGTGATGGGACTGGATATGCCATGATCTTCATTTTTGACCTTTGAGTTTTAAGCCAGCTTTTTCACTCTTCTCTTTCACTTTCATCAAGAGACTCTTTAGTTCTTCTTAACTTTCTGCCATAATGGTGGTGTCATCTGTGTATCTGAGGTTATTGATAGTTCTCCCAGCAATCTTGTTTCCAGCTTCTGCTTCATCCTGCCTGTCATGTCACTGATGTACTCTATGTATAAGTTAAATAAGCGGTTGACAACATACAGCCTTCACATACTCCTTTCCCAACTGGGAACCAGTCCATTGTTCCATATCTGGTTCTAACTGTTGCTTCTTTACCTGCATACAGGTTTCTCAGGGGGCAGGTACGGTGGTCTGGTATTTCCATCTCTCAAAGAGTTTTCCAGTTTGTTATGATCCACACAGTCAAAGACTTTGGCGTAGTCAATAAAGCAGAAGTAGATGTTTTTCTGGAACTCTCTTGTTTTTAAGATGATCCAACGGATGTTGGCAATTTGATCTCTGGTTCCTCTGCCTTTTCTAAAACCAGCTTGAACATCTGGAAGTTCACGGTTCACGTATTGCTGAAGCCTGGCTTGGAGAATTTTGAGCATTACTTTACTAGCGTGTGAGATGAGTGCAATTGTGTGGTAGTTTGAGCATTCTTTGGCATTGCCTTTCTTTGGGATTGGAATGAAAACTGACCTTTTCCAGTCCTGTGGCCACTGCTGAGTTTTCCAAATTTGCTGGCATATTGAGTGCAGCACTTTCACAGCATCATCTTTCAGGATTTGAAATAGCTCAACTGGAATTCCATCACCTCCACTAGCTTTGTTCGTAGTGATGCTTTCTAAGGCCCACTTGACTTCACATTCCAGGATGTCTGGCTCTAGGTGAGTGATCACACCATCGTGATTATCTGGGTCATGAAGATCTTTTTTGTACAGTTCTTCTGTGTATTCTTGCCACCTCTTCTTAATATCTTCTGCTTCTGTTAGGTCCATACCATTTCTGTCCTTTATTGAGCCCATCTTTGCATGAAATGTTCCCTTGGTATCTCTAATTTTCTTGAAGAGATCTCTAGTCTTTCCCATTCTATTGTTTTCCTCTATTTCTTTGCATTGATCACTGAGGAAGGCTTTCTTATCTCTCCTTGCTATTCTTTGGAACTCTGCATTCAAATGGGAATATCTTTCCTTTTCTCCTTTGCTTTTTGCTTCTCTTCTTTTCACAGCTATTTGTAAGGCCTCCTCAGACAACCATTTTGCCTTTTTGCATTTCTTTTTCTTGAGGATGTTCTTGATCACTGCTTCCTGTACAATGTCATGAACCTCTGTCCATAGTTCTTCAGGCACTCTGTCTATCAGATCTAATTCCTTCAGTCTATTTGTCACTTCCATTGTATAATCGTAAGGATTTGATTTAGATCATACCTGAGTGGTCTAGCAGTTTTCCCTATTTTCTTCAGTTTAAGTTGGAATTTGGCAATAAGGAGCTCATGATCTGAATCATAGTCAGCTTCTGGTCTTGTTTTTGCTGACTATAATATAGCTTCTCCATCTTTGATGGCAAAGAATCAGCCCATCTGATTTCAGTATTGACTGTCTGGTGGTCTATCTTATTTGCTTTATTTTGCATTCTCTATCCCTTTTACAGCCCTACACTACTTTGCAAGTTCTTGGCACTAGTTTATGTTCAGTGAAATGTTGAAATAAATAATGATAAGACTAGCATTACCTAAGGCATGCGGAAGGAGCTGTGACCACAGTGCTTTCCTGTTCTTGGGACATGTGTTTTTGGTTACCTGAGTTAAGCCTACTAGTATAGATGCCAGATTGTTTTCAGTGTTGTTTTCCCAGTGCTTTATGTTTAGTACTATTTGATTCAGTAAGTGAGGAAGTGCCTCTTTCCCTTGGAGACAAAGTACAGGAAAAGCAAAAGTATGAGAAAAGTAAATACAAAAGTATTTGCACACTGGTTTGTCCTTCCGTCCTCTCATTTCCTTTTGAAAGTCATGATACATATTGTAGGCTTTATTAATCCCCCTCCCTAATACCTATAATGGGCTTCCCAGGTGGCGCTGGTGGTAAAGAACCTACCTGCTGATGCAGGAGACTTAAGCGACGTGGGTTCGATCCCTGTGCCGGTTTTCCTCTGAAGGAAGGCATGGCAACCCACTCCGGTATTCCTGCCTGGTGAATCCTGGCAGGTGATTCACCTCCAGACAGAGGAGCCTGGTGGGCTACTGCCCATAGGATTGCATAGTCGGACACAACTGAAGTGACTGGGCACATGCACAGTGCTTTAAATAGCACAGAATTATCTGCCAATCTTTCTTCTGTCTTCTTTAAGGCATTCTTTTTAGTGTTTGGCTTTTCTATACCTGTGAATTTTTATAAGTGCAGTGTATTTGTTTAGCTTTCAGAAAACTACTATTATTTTACATATTCTTCCTACTAAATAAGAAAGTACCTCAGGTTTTGGAAAATATAATAGTTAAGAGCTCTGTCTGTTACATTTTATTGATGAAAAGAGAGTATGGATAACTCAAGTCTAGGTTAAGTGTCTTTTTTTCGTTAATAGTTTCCTTCTGTGGTCTAGAACGCAGTGGCTATTGTGTGTATTTTACTTTTAGAAAGCTATTGGGGAGAACAATTACTAGTCTCCTTTTTATATTTTTGTCATGTGCAGTTATTTATATGAACAAAATACTGCTAAGTATATTGACTGATATTAATAATGGTGTTTATAGATTTGGTAAAAACTGAAGGAGAGGGACTTATCTGCCAGTCCAGTGGCTAAGACTCCATGCTCCCAATGCAGGGGGCCTGGGTTTGATCCCTGGTCAGAAAACTAGATCCTGCATGCCATAATTAGAAGATCCCACATGCCCCAACACAGATCAAAAATCCCACGTGCCACAGCTAAGACCCAGCACAGCCAAAGAAATAAATAAATATTAAAAAAAAAAAAACAGACTGAAGGAGCTCAGGCCTTGATGTTAAGACAGTCTGGATGTGAATACTGGGCCAGACGTTTACTGTGTAATTGTGGACAAATTACTTAACCTCTCTGACATGCAGTGTTTTCAGCTGTACTGTCTTGGTGCATTTGTGTGTAATCAGTTGGTTTCTTTCTCTTATTGTGTAAGCAACATGAGAACCTTTTTTGATATTTGTATCCCCAGAGCTTAGAACAGTGCCGGCACACAGTAAGCAGTAAATAAATTTTTATTGTTTTCCAATAGAGGTACAGCATTTTTCCTATCCTCAGTGGAACTGTATTGTTTGTTTTAATATGATTATTTAAAAGGACAACCTATAGAGTTTGATAAATACTGTTGTGTATGAGAGCAGTCATGATATGTTCTTAGCTTATAACCAGTGTTATATATGGACTGTTCTATTTCTTGGTTTTGGAATAGTGGTCAGTCAGGTTTAAACTCTATAATAAGTAGTTGTATTTTTGCTCACATGGTTTAAACTTTTAAAATCTAAAATCTTAGATATTTTCGAAGATTATGCTTCTCCTACCACAGCAGCCCAGACTCTCTTATATACTGCTGCAAAGAAAAGAAAAGAGGTATGTAGTTATTCTTTTTAAATACAAAACTGAAAGGTGACCTGTGTTGATTTGACATTCTAATGAATGCCCCTTGTAATTGAAAAATTATGTTAGTAGTTATAATCGGTAACTTTAAAAAGTTTTTGTGTCCTCGTAAGGGAAAAGGAATATTTTTTCTTAATTGTAGTTGCTTGATAGAACACAATAAAATGTCTTTATTTTTGAAAATTTGTACATCATTTTTAATATGATAGTAAAGCAGTGAAAGCTCATGTAGACTAAAGTGGATTCTTCTATTTCTTTAGGTGTTGCCAAAAATGATGGCATTCTGTTATCAAATCCTAACAGACCCGAACTTTGATCCTAGGAAGAAAGATGGAGCCCTGCATGTGATTGGTTCCCTAGCTGATATTTTACTGAAGGTTAAGCTACTCAAATTTAATTTACTTAATAACACTGTGAAGCATAGGCAAATGAGATAATATGAAAATTATGGATAATTTAAAATTGCTGACTCTGCATAATTGACTAAATATTTTTCTTTCTGTCATTTTTGTTTCTTACATTTAAAATGACTTTTTATTTACTTTTTCAGTATGAAACTGTTGCTATATAAAAAAGATGATACAAAATAACTTTAGTGTTGTTTCTAGAAAGATCAGTCGATACCAAGTTTCTATCTAAAGACTATTTCTCTCGTTTTAAAACATGCAATATGTAGGTCAATAATTTTTCAAAATTTTAAATAGAAATATATTAAGTGTAAATCATAAGAAACATGCTTTATTAAGAAGTGATTTTTACATATGAGAAAGACATTAATAAGTTAAACTCAATTTCTGTTTCCTAACAGAAGAGTTTATTCAAGGACCAAATGGAGTTATTGCTGCAGAATCATGTGTTTCCATTACTGTTGTCTAACCTGGGATACCTTCGAGCCAGAGTAGGTTTTTCCATATTTCATTTTAATGTCTCGAAATCTTCATTTGTAAGTTAATTATTGAACTAAATACTTTTGGACAGATTTATCTTTTACCACACTGGGACAAAATGAAGTCAGTGAGAATGTCTCTTATAGTCATAAAAGCTGAATAAGGAGCAAATTAGTAAATAAAGGGATGTATAAATTTTAACTCAAGCTGCCCCCTGCCTTGCCTCACTTGCTGCATATGCAGAGCATGCTGTGAGAGGGCTGATGCTGCAGCAGTGGTACCATGTAAATTCCTAAGCTGATTAATTTTTAGTGTCCAAAACAGCATGAAAATTATATTTTGGCTAAACTCTTATTATGATTCCCAGTATAATAATTAGATACACTTTAATAACATGGAGAAAATAATAATCCATGTAAATTTATTTGTATTCTAGATATATATTATTTACAGAAGCAATATATTTTATGGAGAAATAAAAATAGAACGTTTAACAGCCCAGTGCTTATTTTTGTAACTATATCAACACAACAAAATATCTTGCTAAAACCAATATATGTTAACAATGCCTTGTACACACCAAAGCATTTTATAAATGGAAAACAGGGACTTCCCTGGTGGTCCAGTTGTTAAGACTGTGCTCCCAATTCCGGGTGTCTGGGTTCAGTCCCTGATCAGGAAACTAAGACCTGGAGCAATCAAATAAATAAATAAATAAAAATATTTAAAAAGAGATAATAGTCACTAGAGAAATATTTGTGTGAATGTAGGTTAGAAATGTAGAGGGTGCACAAGTATTTTTGTAAGTAGGCTACTATTTTTAGACTATTAATTGTATGTCTCTTGCAAGTTGTTAGTCATACAAGTTATTTACTGTCAATTGTATTTTATGCAATAGAGATTAAAAAAAATAATATGATTTAGTGGTCTAATAGTTTAAAGTTTGGTAATTTATACAAGGTTAAATTTTTTTTTTATCTTCTGTGACTGAAAAAGTCAAGTTTCTTAAACTGATTAGTGTAAGGTAAAATAATATTTTATTCATTTGCTATGAAGACCAGTAAATGAATGTCAACACTAGCTTGTAGTGCCTTTGCATATAAATAATGAGTTGTAAGTCATAATATTTATTAAAGCATTGACAGGATTTTTTTTTTTAGAGACACAAGTTTGGCTCTGTTTTACCTTATGAATAATGATATTGCATAAAGGCAATTTAGAAGTAATAAAATTGCCTTTCTTATAAGAAATATGGAATCCTGAAGTTAGCATCTGAGACTAATATGTTTCCCTCCAAAAAACAAATAAATAAATAGTACATGCTAGGATTAATGATGTTTTACTTAGTGAGAAGTTTTTATATTCATTATTACATAAAACCATAATCCTAATAGTTTCCTACTAACTTTTTCCTTATAACATAGTCCTGTTGGGTACTTCATGCATTCAGTTCTTTGAAATTTCATAATGAGCTCAACCTAAGAAATGCAGTTGATCTAGCAAAGAAGAGCCTGATTGAGGATAAGGAGATGCCTGTCAAGGTTGAAGCTGCCCTTGCTCTTCAGTCATTAATTTCTAACCAGACACAAGGTAAAGCCAAAATTATTATTAAATTAAAAATATTTAAAATTTAATTTAGAATAAAAATACAGTTTTTAGAGGGTATTTTTAATTAAATAATTATTTTGATGTGGTCTTCTCAAATAGTTTTGTTTACTTCCTTGCCTAACAGAGATAAGTCCCTAAGTCTTAAAGTTCAGAGTTTGGGTTTTTGAGCTTTGCCCCCTCAGAATTTTATAGGCAGTTATTCTTGCCACTTTTAGGAATGTCTGTTAACTGTGGTTTCCAGAAAAATTTGAGATTAGGAAACAAGTTGATGATTGTTAAATATTAGGGTAGATGGGGAATCGAGAGACCTAGGGGTCTATATTTGACTGAACTCCTGCCTTGCTGTCTAGACCTGGGCAAGACATGTGATCTGTCAAGGCTTAGATTGCCATATATTTAAATTTAGGGGGATTGGACTAGATGGCTTCAAGATTCCTTTCAGTTCTAGGATTCTGTGATTCTGCCAGTTCTGAAAGTAGCAAGTCGCATTTCTAGTGAGTGATAATACATGTCTCATTTGTTTGTGTAGAAGAATGCTCTGTTCAAAATTCAGATAAACCTTTGAAAGTAAATTTTGCATTATGAAGAACATTAGCCTTTATCCCTATGTAACACTGTTCCAATGGAAGGCAGTATTAGATAAACACATGTGGGGAGAAGGGTGGTTAGAGATGGGGTGAAAGAGGGAATGAGCATCATCAATGTTAGGCATAGTCTTTATGTAAATGATTTTTACACTTGTATCATGCTGTCATATTCATGTTTGATAAGTCATGCTGATGACAGAGGACATGTGTGGTTCAAATTTCTCAAGGGAGCTACTGGCATTTGGGGCAGGAGAGTTCTCTACAGTGCAGGACTAATTGTCCATATGTTACTCATGGGAAAATGGATACATTGGTGAACACTATTTTGATACAACTTTATAACTTAACCATCAGGCAAATATGTGTCTGGAACCTGTTACCCTGTGTCATTTACCTTGTGACCAAATAACTTTCCTTCACCACTTGTGAATAGCTAATATTTTTTACTGAGTTTCTTTTTTATTGCATTAGCCAAGGAATATATGAAGCCACACGTAAGGCCTATTATGCAGGAGCTGTTGCACATTATTAGAGAGACAGAAAATGATGATGTTACTAATGTTATCCAGAAGATGATATGTGAATACAGCCAAGAGGTAGCCTCAATTGCTGTGGATATGACTCAGCATTTGGTAAGACTGGGTACAGTTTTATGTTAGTTTGGTATAAAGGCTTTGAATTATCTAAGTAAATTAAACTCCAAAATTTGAAGTTTAGTTTGTATGTAACTGAAATGCTAATGTAAAACTATTTGCTCTAATAATTCTGACAGTTAATAATTTCTATATATACTTTCCAGTTTTCCTAGATTTTGGATTTATTTATTTAATGTCAACCAGAATATTTGCTGTTTGATTATAATAGCTAATATATATTCCACTTTAGTGACTAGATAAGGGCAAAATGGCTATATTTAAAACATGACAGTTTCTATCATCGATATTCACTTGGCAAACTGCATATCTTAAAGTTTGAGCAGTGGTGGCATTTGGAGATGTGACACTGTCCTTTTGCTCACTTCTCATAGAGAAGCGTGAATGTAGCAGTACTAATTGTTGAATGTGTTTGCTATTTTTGTAGGCTGAGATATTTGGCAAAGTTCTTCAAAGTGATGAATATGAAGAAGTTGAAGACAAGACTGTAATGGCTATGGGAATTTTACATACCATTGATACTATCTTGACAGTTGTAGAAGATCACAAAGAGGTAGGATTTCCTTGTGTTTTATGATATAATTATAGTAAGTGAAATTTATATTATCATTGGTCATGAATTTTAAAGTCTTGACCTTTAAATTGCTGTTTATGTTGCTGGATTTTAAAAATTACCCTCAAATCTTAAAGAAAAGTATAAAAATGATTCAAGGGAAATGTTGCATGTGGTTTTAAAGTATATAGTATATCTCTTTTGCTAAACTTAGTTCAGTTCATCACATCTGCTATGTGCCAGGGTAGGCTTGGGGGAAAACCAAATTTAATAAGACATAAGCCTCCCTGTTTGGAATCCACAGTCTGGTCTTCTTGGTAGAGAGAGACTGCCATTCAGTTACAGAGGCAAATTTTAAATAATAGAACAAAATACTGATGTAACAAATACCTGAGAATGGAAGGGAAGAGAGCTTAAAACATCATCTTTCCTAGGCTGAATTCCAGAACAACATTGGATTAAGAATTTGCACAGATGTTTGTCAAGCACTCTCATATCTGTTCTGTTCAGTTCAGTTCAGTCGCTCAGTAGTGTCCAACTCTTTGCGACCCCATGGACTGCGGCACGCCAGGCTTCCCTGTCCATCACCAGCTCCCAGAGCTTGCTCAAACTCACGTCCATTGAGTCAGTGATGCCATCAACCATCTCGTCCTCTGTCTTCCCTTCTCCATTAACTGATAGAATGTTACCGTGTCGCCCTGCCATAGAGCAGGTAGTGGTGGTGCCTGTTTGCAGAAGTAGAGCTCAAGGTTCAGGTGGTATCTCATGTTCACGGAGTTGGGAATTTGTAGATTTAGAGTTGCAGTCACTTGATATATCGTGATAATGTATCAATTATTGCCTACCTAAAACCTGCTGCTCTCCTCCCCAAGTATTATATATTATATAGCCTTTACTTAAATTAGATTTGTGTTCATTACTGCTGCCAGCACAGTTGACTTGTTTGGCAATGGTGGCAGCTCTCGTTTTATACAGTGGGACTTAGGAAGCAGGTGCTGGTTCTTTAAATAGCATTGTTAAACCCTGTGGCTGTTGACTTAAACTGTGTTTATTGCATACTAGTGGATGCTTACCAGGTTCTTAAAAATGGTTCAATTTTCTTCTCCTAGGCAGGCCTTTCTTTGCCTAAAAGACTTAATGTGAATTTTTGTTTCCATATTCACTATTGTATTGCTGTGTCCTTGTTGAAAATATATGGGCCTCTCTGTAATGGTGAGATTTTCAAGTTAAATTGCATGTATACTTAAGGATTATTCTTTCCCCTTATATGTAGGACTTGTATTTTAAATTTAAAGAGAACTTAGAAATCGTCTTGTCACGTTTTCCCAAATATGTTTTTCTGGAGGATGGGCAGTAGTAGGATAAGCATCAGGATTAGTTTAAAAAAAAAAAACCCACCATTTTATCTTTCTGTTTTAATTTTTTAATTCTTGGTATTACTTTTATTTTAAATTTCAAATAAAGTTAAAGGAGCATGTGAACTTACTGTGATTATCAAAGGAGGAATGGGTTAAATTTGAGATACACTAATCAAATCTAGCTTCCCTAACCTACAGATGAAAAATCTTAAAGCCTTTAGCTAGATGGCTTTGCCAAGGTCATAGGTAACTAGAGGCAAAACAAGGACTGGAATCTTGGTCTCCTGACTGCCAGTCTTATGATTTTGAACTTTGACTTACTAAAAGCAAACTTTGAAAGCAAGATTTCCTTAAAAGGAATATTTACATGTGTACAAATACTTAATGTATGAAGAGTAAAATTAGAAATATGAAAAAGATGGCTAGTATTTTTATGGCTTAAGTATTCACATTGAAGTCCTAGACATATTCGGAATTAATTTTGGTATAAAATATGAGATAAGGAATTAATTAAACTTGTAATTTTATTATGATTTTAACCCACATTTCCATCATTAGCCCACTTTTCAGAAATTTCCTGGTTATTCTTTCATGTTTAATTTTTCACATGGAGTTTAGAATTAACTTCTTAATTTCTCTTCTCAAAAAGGTCCTATTGGAAAAAAATCCTATTGGTATTTCTATTGGGATAATATTGAATTTATAGATTAAATTAAGGGTTATGATGAATTTTAAACTAAATGTTTAAAATTTGTCTTTAGGTTACTCAGCAGTTAGAGAATATCTGTCTACGGATCATTGATCTTGTTTTACAGAAACATGTAATTGGTAAGTTCTAAGATAGAATAAAAAGGTAAATTGAGTCTATTTTTAAATTTGATGAAAAATGCGTTTTAGCCCTTCAAATTCAACAAGATGGACAGTTTTTAGAAAGAGAAGCTTGCCTTCTGTTCAATTTTTAGATATACTTTCTAATATTAGATTTCTTGATTTTCATTTAGAGGTAAGCTTAACATACCCAATTAAGAATTGTTGTTGTTGGAGTTTTTAAAGAACAGAGATTTTAAATTTTTTTAGAAAGGAAGAACTAAGATGAGGTTCAGGTGAGGTTACTTTAGGATTGAAAAATGTGAGATGATAGGTGTATGTTCTGTCAGAAGTGTGAATTAATTGTTATTCTGTTATGTTATGGTACCTGACTTCTGAGTAGAGTCAGTAGTTAATGCTGGATGTTACAGATTGATTGGGATTTGTAGAAGAGGCAAGTTTTCATAGTATCCAAGCATTTTGAAGATACCAGCCACAAGTGTTGTAGGTAGGAGAGAAATGTAGTCTGTATAGTGTAAGAGATAGAAAGATGGAACAAAAGCAGGTTACCACATTAGAGCAGCCATCTCCAAACTTTTATCATTCACACCATTAGTAAAAAGTTGAGCATGTACTTCTAATGTATGTGAATAATACTCAAATATATATTTATATGCAATATACATGTTACTGTGCTACATTTACTTACATAAAGAGAAATGTAAAACATGAGATTAAATATAAATGAATATGTTTATCTCTGCTAAGTGTTCTAATACATTCTTCTCCCATTTTAGAGGATTATCCTCTACTTTGCCAAAGTAGTCCTTAACTTTTGAAATCATCACTATAAAGCAGTAGTTCTCAAACTTTGATGTGGATAAGAATCACTGAGGATCTAGTTAAAATGAAACTTCCTGGACCATAACGTCAGAGATTCTGATACACTCAGAAAGAATATATTCACTTATGTCCTTATTTGTGAAGAGATTGCTACTGAAAATTCTCCGTTAAAAAATTTCTCTTAAGGACTTCAAACATGTGAATATTGTATTGACTTACAATATTATATTATTTTCAGGTTTACAACATAGTAACTGGATATTTTTATAGAATATGCTATATACAAAGTTATAAAATACTGACTATATCCCCTATGCTGTGCATTACATGCTTGTAACTATTTCAGGTCAAGGGGATTAAGAGGTACAAATCACTAGATGTAAAATAAATAAGTCACAAGTATGTATATGTGCTGCCGAAGCGAGCACAATAAATAAGTCACAAGTATGTAATCTCCACTGACATTTAAAGTAAGTAGTCTTGAGGAAAAAACTGTGAAGTAAAGCAAAGTGAAGTGGTTTATACCAACTTTCTGTAATCTGCCTGTACCAGATTTGTAATTTGGGCAATTACAACATCAGGATGTTAAGAAAAGAAAAGGGGCCTATTTCTTCAGTGTGGTGGGCAGAGGAGAAGAGTTTCAATCGCCTGTCTCCTCTAATCTCATCTCTAGTGCCAAGGTGATCTCTCTTGTGTTTTTAGCTGTGACGTATGAACTATTAATGGCCCTTTTTTTGAACCAGTATTTAGTCATGTAAGATTTTAGGTTAAACAAAAAAACCTAATTCTGGAAGATATTGTGGGCTGTTAGCGCAAGACCCCACCATAGCAGTCTGACCATGTTTATGTCCATGGTCCAGTCTTTTTCCACTGTCCCACTTTTGCCTCCTTCTTTTGCCTGTTTTTATTGCTAATTTACTCATGAACTTCATGTATTATTAAAAGCTAGGCTTATCCATTACTGATTTAACTGCTCTATCTTATGCAGTTAAGTCAAAGTTAGTACAACCATCCTACCCTAATAGTCCGTTGTCTTGGCTGAGACTAAATGAAAAGGCTTCTGGTTAATTTAAACATAAATGGAATTGGTGGAAGGATATTGGTAGCTCACCAAAGCAGTGGGAAGGCTGGAGTTGGCCAGAGTCAGCCAGGATTCTGCCATAAAAATGGTTTGCTTAGAAGGCCAGTGCTGCCTTGCTCAACACTGGGTCCTACACTGCTGCCCACCATAGTCCAGACTCCCAGCACAGACTGTGATCCTCCTAATTCTTCCCCAACCCACACAAAAAGAACTGGAACACTTTTGTGCCATTTAGTTTCTCCCTCAGATTCATAGTCCTGATCTGGAGCATCTTGAGTGGCCTGGTAAAGTACACAGGCTGCAGCCATCAAGAGCGTGAAAGGAAATACTGGACCTGTTTTCTTTCTTTCAGGCTTTACGTTAGGAAGAGGCATTTGCTTTCCTGAGCAGAACTTTCAGAAATTTTTTATTCAGGCCATTGGTTGTATTTCAAGTGATTGTCTTTCATAAATTATTTCCCAGTATCTATGATTTCCATCTTATTTTGCTTTTGGTAAGGCAAATATCTACATTGCTAGCTTTTAAATATATTAAATTTTGAATAATGTTACAGAAAAAAATTTTATCCAAGCTTCCAGGGTGAATATTGGTTCCCTTGAATAAAAAGAAGGAAAAAAAACCCCCAAAACTTTGAAGTTAGACTTTTTTGTTCAGTGACATGGTAGGAAATTTTTGAAATTTTTGTGTTGAGGTTTGTGTTTTCTGATTGTATGTTTAGATATAATTTCCTTCTGAATGAGGGTAAGAATAATAAGTATATGTACAAATGCAAGAATATTCCCTTTGGACTCTTTTAATAGTAAGTATAATTATCTTGAAGTAAGTTGAAAAATATTGTACTAATTTTACAAGCTTTGTAAATTGGCAAAATATATTCTGTATATAGTTTGTAAAAAAATACATGTGGCAGATGGATATTTTTGCCTAGATGAATTAAGTTCTCTGAAGAACATTAATTGTTTGTAAATTTAAAATCCTGTGCATGAGAGATATACAATAATCTGTTCCTTCTTGTATCCATTTCTAATATCGTTATATATATAAACTTTATTTTCTGTATTACAAAACACAAAAAATATAACTTTTCAGTATTGCAAGTAAGTTTAGTAAAAACAAATCTTTGCCTTATCTTATTGAGTAGGGGGCAGATCTTAGTGAGAAATGGAAGATGGCAAATATTAATAGAGGTAGCAAGAGACGGGAGCTGAGAAACAAATGCTCAAAAGTATGTTAGATATAAGATATGTGTGAGTATATAGCCTAAATCCTCTTCTGTGTGGTCTTTGTGTTTAATATTTGCTATTTCCTAGGATTCTAACAAGAGATTTTCTTCTTTCTAGAATTCTATGAAGAAATTCTTTCATTGGCTTACAGTTTAACTTGCCATGGTATTTCTCCTCAAATGTGGCAGCTTCTAGGTATATTATATGAGGTTTTTCAGCAGGATTGTTTTGAATATTTTACAGGTATGACTTTGACCATGTGACATTTTTGCAGTTCTGTGTCTAGATAGGTATTATTTCCTTTGACACTTGACATAAAGATATGATTCCAGTACTAATCAGAAAATAATTGTTCTTCCTTTCCTGTTGAGTGGTGCTGTTGTAGGACTGTTTTTCAGCCCTAGGAATAGAGGTCGTAGTAGGAAGGCTATATTTCCTACTGAATCTTAAATTACTTTGCAGTCAAAGTATATATCCATATATTAATTAATATTTTCTGAATGTCAGCTATATTCCAAGCATTGTTCTAAGCTCAGCAGTACATCAGAACAAAATAGACAGCCCTTGCCCTTTTGACACTCCCATTCTAGTATGGGGTGGGAGAGGCTAGGAAACACGCAGACAAATAAGCAAATAGAGTGTGTCAGATGGTAATGAGTGCTATGGGGAAAAAGAAGAAAATTCATAACAATCACTATAGTAAATGATGAGAATTTTAATCTTTCTGATACACATTTCCCTCATCAATAAATAGGGCAGGAGTACCATTTTAGTTTCTAGCGTTTTGTGGTTGCAAGGGAAGATAGTAATGTGTGGGTGTTATAGAAATGTGCTTTCAGTGGTAATAATTTGTTTCTACTTCTGTTACTCAAATCTCATTGAGAGTTTGAATTTTTTTCCAGACATGATGCCTCTTCTGCATAATTATGTGACAATAGATACAAATACTTTACTGTCAAATCCAAAGCATTTAGAAATACTTTTTACAATGTGTAGAAAGGTAAGCATGTCCTAATCATTTGTTGTAGTGATTCTTACTAATATTTACTGACTAGTGTTGTATTTTACTTCAGATATTCTCTCAATTTATTTCTTATACATTGCGTTGTATATTGCTCTTATGGACATATATTTGTCATTTTGTGTTTTCAAATGGAGTTTGGAATTATATTCTGAAAATTTCATATTGTGTGTTATACTTAATGTTTGCTACTTCTATAGCTGTGTACTTCACAATGCTTAGGTAAATAATTTTCCATGTATTTTTTCTTTCAAAAATGTAGACTTACTACTTGATTAAAGAAGAGTGCTAGGAAAATATCACAGTTTGTCAATTAGTGATTTTTCTTTTAATTGAATGTATATATTGGAAAACACTAGGTATAGGTAATTTGAACATCATCAAGACAAAAAAAATTGGACTAGTTGGAAAGATAGCATCATTAACGCAATACAGGGTAGTTTGTAAGCCACGTAATGACTACTGTTGTATTTATGCACAAGCATGATTGTCTACTATGTTATCTTTGTCACAAATGCCCCCTCTTGGTTATATCTAGGAGTGATTCATGACTAATGCTTTCCTCCTCTTTTAGGTGAATATGTGTATATTCATAAATATAAAACTGTATTACATAGAGATGGCAGATTTTAGAAAGTTCAAATAGCCAGAAACCTAAGTTTGGCTTTGGAGTTGGGAGTAAGATAGCTAGTGTACAGCCTGTTTTCCTTCCTAGAAGAGATGTGTACCAGCCTCTGTTAAGAGTGCTGAACTCATAATCAGTTTATCTAATTTAGGTCTCAGTTCAGTTTTAAAGAGCCTGGGAGATTTGGGGAGGTCACTGTTTCATCACATATAAACTGCAGGAGTAGAATCATGATTTTTGAAGACTCATATAGCTTCTGTAGAAACCCAACTTGATAGGGCATAATCACCTGTCTGTCCTCAGGTTTTTCCTGTTATAAAGATAGCTGCTAGTGAGGAAAAGGGGCAGAGAAAGCAGCAAGTAGACAATTAACTCACAGCTGCTCTGTATTGTAGCAGATAGAGTAACAGTGATGTTCATAATGATGTCCTTCTTAGCAAGTAGATACAATTTATTTCTTATTGTCTTATTAGTGCACTCTTACTGTATACCAGGTATTTCCTAAGCATTTGTATACATTAATTTATTTAATCTTTTCAGCATTATATCACCTTTTTGTCAAAGAGGAGAGAGGCATTTTGCATTGTGCTTGAGGTTTAGAAAAGTGACCTAGGTCATATAAGCAAAGAGGAACTAAAGAGCCTCTTAATGAAGGTGAAAGAGAAGAGTGAAAAAGCTGGCTTAAAACTCAGCATTCAAAAAACTAAGATCATGGCATCTGGTCCCATCACTTCCTGGCAAATAGATGAGGGGATAATGAAAACAGTGGCAGTTTTTATTTTCTTGGGCTCCAAAATGGCTGGGGACAGTGACTGAAGCCGTGAAATTAAAAGATGCTTGCTCCTTGGAGGAAAAGCTATGACAAACCTAGACAGTGTATTTAAAAGCAGAGACATAATTTTGCTGACAGATGTCTGTCTAGTCAAAGCTGTGGTTTTTCTAGTAGTCATGTATGGATGTGAGAGTTGGACCATAAAGAAGACTGAGTGCTGAAGAATTGATGTTTTTGAATTGTGATGCTGGAAAAGACTCTTGAGAGTCCCTTGGACAGCACGGAGATCAAACCAGTCCATCCTAAAGGAAATTAACCCTGAATATGGGGGCTTCACTTGTAGCTTAGTTGGTAAAGAATCTGCCTGCAGTGCAGGAGACCCAGGTTCAATCACGGGTTGGGAAGATCCCCTGGAGAAGGAAATGGCAACCCACTCCAGTATCCTTGCTGGGAAATCTCATGGACAGAGGAGCCTTGGGGGTCTGCAGTCCATGGGGTCGCACAGAGTCAGGATTGACTGAGCGACTAACACAACACACTTATTCATTGAAAGGATTGATGCTGAAGCTGGCCACCTGATGTGAAGAGCTGACTCATTGAAAAAGACCCTGATGCTGGGAAAGATTGAGGGCAGGAGAAGAAGGGGACAACAGATAATGAGATGGTTGGATGGCATCGCATACTCAATTGACATGAATTTGGGCAAACTCTGGAAGATGGTGAAGGATGGGGAAGCCTGGTGTGCTTTAGTCCATGGGGTCACAAAGAGTTGGACATGACTGGGCGACTAAACAACAAATCTAGTTCCAGAGCCCATTTTTTAACTACTGCACTATATTTTGCTTCTTTTCCTTTTGTGGAAGGAAGAGAAACAAAACCTCAAACCAGCAAACAAAGAAATCAAGTAAATGCAATTTGGGATAAAGGGACTGATTTTTTTTTTTCTTTCTGTACCATATAATCCTATGATATAAATATATTATTATATTCCTTTTTACAGATGGGAACAGTAAGGCACAGAGGTGAAATAGCTTATCTAAAAACACAGCTCATAAATGGCAGAGCTAGGATTTAGACCTAGGCATTCTGGTCCCAGAGCCCATTCATACTTAGAATCTAGATCTAGAAACACACTGCCCTAGAGGTGGAATTTTTTTATGTAAATAGGGTTGATTCTTGGTTTTGCTAGCTACCTGTTTGCAGTTCAGCTCCCTGACACATCTGTTTTCCAGCTTCCATAATTTTATAGCTGTCTCTTTTTCCTTTTTTCTGTCTTTGTGGATGTATGCCTCTAAAATATGTTTATCTTCATTTTAATGGCCTTGGGAAGGGATAAAATTGAATGGGGATGTTCATATCTGTTATCTTTATCTGGAAAGATTTAAAATTCAGCTTTCTTAAATCATATTTGTCTAGGAAATTATCTAATTCATCTGAGTTTAAAAGAATATAAAGAATATAATATTGTTCATAGTATTTTCATTTTTAATCTTTCCTTTATAGGTATTTATATCTTTCATTCCTAACATTTTTAAAAATTTTGCTTTGCTTTTTAAAATAATTTTGAAAAAAATACATTTGGTAGAAGTTGTCAAATTATTAGTCTTTAAAAAATGAATCTAGTTTTGATTTCTGTTACCTCTTTTTGTCTATTATTCCTAATTTCTGTCTCACCTTTATTCTTTAAGTCTGTTCTTTTTCTTATGTCTTGTGTTTGAACTCATTAATTTTTTCATATTTCTTAATTTCTAACATAAGTTAGAAATTACTCTATAAATCTCTCTTCTGTGAACCTTATTATAAGACTATCATATTCTTTGTATGAACATGTGCTTTCTATAATTGTTCATTCAGTGAAAATACAGAATTGTCATTAGGGGAACAGTCTGATAAGCTGTTATATTCATCTTCCGTAATACTGTTTAGTCCTAAAAGGTTTAATATCTTTGGAAAGTACTTCAAGTTATAAAGTCCATGTGAGGAAAGTAAATGGTATGTAATATTATATTTATGGTTTCATTATTAAAAACTGGGTGGATATAGACAGGAATTCAAAAAGAACAGAAAAATAGGAAAAATACAGTGTTTGTTTCATTGTTTAAGAAGGTTTTTTTTTTTTTTAAAATTTCATTGTATCATTTTATTGTTTTTGGTGCCTTACTTAAAGGGAAGCTTTATTTGTCTAGACAGGTAGCAGCCTACTTTTTAATCCAGAGTTAAATAAAGTGAATTATTACTCATATAAGGAATTAGAGTAGATAAAAAAGATAGATGGACTTTATTTTGAACTTCCTTTTTTTGGGTTGGCAAGGTAAACTCATGATGCAAACACCATGATTCTAATGGCTGTTTTTTACGTGATATTTACTTTATGTAAACTTGATTAAAGTTTTACAGTGCTGTTCAGTGCTGAGTGAAATTTTAATTACTGTAGGTACTATGTGGAGATGCAGGAGAAGATGCAGAATGTCATGCAGCCAAACTTCTTGAAGTCATCATTCTTCAGTGCAAAGGAAGGGGAATTGATCAGGTAATATATGTGTAGAAAACATCCTACTTGATGTTTAAAATTTAAAATTTACATGCCTGCTTGACATTTTGTTTATATTATGATGAAAAATTATGAAGATAGCCTATAGTTTGTATTTACTGGTACAGATCTTATAACAAAAATACCCATGCAATTTGGAAATTATTCCTTGCATCCTAGATACACAGAAAAATATGTAATAATTTAAGAGACTAACAAGTAAATCATGAAGGAGATAAGTGTACAAATCCTGCTGTTTGATCCCCAGAGAGTTGCTTTTTTTGTTTTTGTGTATGCTATTGAAATATTCCCAGATATCTTTTTCAATCAGAAATGAAGGTGCAAAAAGGAAAAAAATTTTTCTCTATTGATAAAAAAATATTATATATTTTTAACAAGATTAATTCAGTTTTTGATACAACTGTGGTGTGATATTCAGTTACTGAGAAAAGTGTTCAAGTAAAAGTGTAGAGTTTTTTTTTCAATTCTGTAATATTTATTCCATATATTTTTGTATAACAGCTTTATTGAGATATAATTTATATACCATCCAGTCAGTCATTTAGAGTTTATGCTTCTCTGGTTTTTAATATAGACACCAAATTGTGCAACTATTATCACAGTCAGTTTTCAGAATATTTCATCACTACCCCTGAGAAAACTCTGTGCCCTTTAGTAGTTATTTCTCACTTCACCTAAATAACCCTCAACCCTAGGCAACCATTATTCTACTTTCTTTCTCTACAGATTTGCCTATTTTAGACATTTTATATAAATGAAATGTGGTTCTTTGTGAATGACTTCTGTTACTTAGCACATAATACTTTAAAATATACCTTCATGTTATAGCAGATATCAGTACTGTATTTCTTTTAATTGATAAATATTTCATCATGTGATTATATCACATTTATTTTAGCTATTCATCAATTGTTGGACATTTTTCTTATTTCCACCTTTTGGCTATTGTGAACAATGTTGACATGAACATTTGTATGCTGATTTTTGTGTGGACATGTCTTCCATTTCTCTTCGTATATATATCTATATATGTGTATATATAGGAGTGGTAATACTGTGTTTAACCATTTGAGGAACTGCCAAACTTTTCCAAAGCAGCTGCACCATTTCCTGTTCCTACCAGTAGTGAATGAGAGTTCTAATTTCTCCGTATCCTCACTAACACTTGGTTGGTCTTTTTCTTATAGCCATCCTAGTAGTGATATTTCATGGTTTTGGTTTGCATTTTCCCAGATGACTTATGATAGTGAGCATCTTTTCATGTGGCTGTTTGTATTTTTTTGAAGAATGTTTATTTGGATTTTTTGGCCTATTTTTAATTGGTTTGTTTATTTTTGAGTTGTAGGGATTCTTTGTATATATTCTAAACTCAAGTTCCTTATCAGATATATACTTTGTAAAAATTTCTTCCCAATTTTTGTGTTATCATTTTCTTGATGATGTCCTTTGAAGCACAGGAAAGTTAATTTGATGATGTCTAATTTATTTTTCCTTTTGTTGTTGTGGTTGTCATCATATTTAAGAAATCATTGCTAAATTCAAGTTTACAAAAATTTTCCATTTTCTTCTAAGAGATTTATGGCCTTAGCTCTAACATTTAAGTCTTTAATTCATTTTGAGTTAATTTTTGTAGCCATATGGTGTGAGGAAAAGGTACAAAGTCATCATTTTGCATGTAGATGTCAAGGTGTCTAGGAGCAATATTTGTTGAAAAACTATTCTTTCCCTGTTGAAATGTCTTGGCACACTTATCAGATATATTCACTATAAATGTGAGGATGTATTTGTGGACTTTCATTCAGTTTTGATGAATTCTTTTCTCCTTAATCCAGGATTGCACTATTACTGTAGCTTTGTAGTAAGTTTTTGAAATTAGGAAGTATTAAATCCTCCATTTTTCCTGTGTAAGAGTCTTTTAGCTAATCTGGACCCTTGAATTTCCATATGAATTTTAGGATTGACTTGTCATTTTAAGGAAAGAAGACAGCTAGAATTGTGATAAGCATTGTGTTAAATCTTTAGATCACTTTGGGAAGTATTGTCACTCTGAGAATACTTCAATCCCTGAACATGGGATGTCTTTCCTTTTCCTTTTATTTAGGGTATCTTTAATTTTTTTCAAAAATGTATTGTAGTTTTCAAGTACATTTCTTTTGTTAAAATCTTCCTACAATATTCTATCCTTTCTAATGCTGTTGTAAGTGGTATTGTTTTCTTAATTTTATTTTCAAGTTGTTTATTGTCTGTGTTTAGAAATACATTTTTTGGTATATTTATCTTGTTTCTTGCAACCTTGCCAAAGTTGTTTATTAGTTTTAATAGAGTTTCAGAGAATTTCTTTGGATTTTCTGTATACAAGGTCATCTCATCTACAGATAGAGTTTTGCCTTTCAAACCTGGGCGCTTTTTATTTTACTTTTCTTGCCTAGTTGCCTTGGCCAGAACCTTCAGTGCAATGGTGAATAGGTATAATGACACCTTGTCTTGTTCTTAGTCTTAGGTAAGGAAGCATTCCTTTCACCATTAAGTCTAGTGTTAGCTGTGGGTTTTTCATAGCTGTCTTTTATCAGATTGAGTGTGTTCCTGTTTACTCCTGGTTTGTTGAATGTTTCAATCATGAAGGAGTGTAAGATGCTTTTTTGCCTCTCTTGAGATGATCATATGGTTTTTGTTCTTTTAATGTGGTGTATTTGTTGATTTTCAGATGTTAAATCAATGTTGAATTTCTGGTATAAATCCTACTTGATCGTGAAATATGATCCTTTTAATATATTTCTAGATTCAGTTAGATGGTATTTTTTATAACTATTTTTGTGTCTATATTTATAGGAGATATTGATCTGTAATTTTTTTTCTTGTGGTATCTTTGTCTGGGTTTGGAATCAGTGTTATGCTGGCCTCATGGAACGAGTTGGGAAGGGCTCACTCTTCTGTTTTTTGGAAGAATATATGAAAGTTGGTGTTTTTTAAATGCTAGAATATAGCAGTGAAGCCATCTTTGCCTGAGGTTATTTTGTGGGTAGTTTTAAAATTACCAGTTCAATCTCTTAATTGTTATAGGTCTACTTGTATTTCTATTTCTTTTTGAGTTAATATGGGAGTTTGCATCTTTCTTAGAAGTTGTCCATTTCATCTAAGTTAACAACTAATCAGTTGGCATGCAGTTCATAATATTTTGTTATCTTTTTGTAGGTCAGTGATATTGACCCTGTTTGTTTTTGATCTTAGTAATTATCATCTTCTTTCTCTTTTTTTCCCTTTTGCTATTTCAAGTAAAAATTTGTTAATTTTGTTCATTTTTTCAATGAACCAATTTATGATTTTTTCTCTCTTGTTTTTCTGTTTGCTATTTCATTAGTTTTTGCTTTAACCTCATAATTTATTCTTTTCTACTTTCTTTGAGTTTAGCTTGCTCTTCTTTTCCCAGAGTCTTGAGGTAGAAATTTAGATTATTAGATTGGCATCTTTCTTGCTTTTTATTATAGAGATTGATAGCTATAAACATCCCTCTAACTGCTGCTCTAGCTACATTAATAAGTTTTGCTATATGTTCATATTCATTCATCTCAAAATATGTTCTTATTTCCACCTTAGATAATGCTGATATAGAGATGTGTCTTGAGGTAGAAAGAAGGGATGTCAAAACTTAAGTCCAATGGCTTTATCTTCTTAATTAGATAGAATTGTTAAGAAATGCAGAAAGTTGAAATTTCAGTTTGGAGAAGTTTAGTAAGTCTAGTAAAGAAAGATTGAGTAGAGGAATTGCTTTTAGTTGGATAGACTCATTCTGCAAGTAAGTATTTCAGGTTTAATACTGTGGATTTCTACTTCTAAAGCTGGATTGTCAGAGGGATTGAAAAGTTGGTATCCAAGCATTTCTGTGTCAGAAAGTTGAGTTAGCTCACTGTCTAATGTTAGTGAGGTTACCACTACTGTGCTGAAGGATTATAACACCTTGGAATGAAGCTCCTCAGTATTTCCTATAAATTGATAGTTATATCTAGATATTTTGGTAAGATTTATTTGTGATTTTTTTGGCAAGAATGCTTCATAGGTGGTGGTGTGTGTTCCTACCAGGAGGCACAGGTGTCTGGTTGTCTCTCATCTTATGATCTTAGTGCTGATATTTTAATTCTGTCATTCTTTATTTATGAGTAGAAATATTTCTATGAAGAGAAGTGTTTTCTCATCAATTTATTAGGTTCCTCTGAGGAACGGTTTGAGTATTTCCCTTTATTTGTCATGACTGAGGCAATGTTTGTTGCCTAGCATCTTCCAAAGATGACCAGTGAGATGTTTTGGGTTGTTTTTTTTTTTTTTTGGTTTTTAGTATTATTTGAACTTACAGATTCAACTTTATTTGACATAGTTCATTTAAATCTGTAAGTTCAAATAATATTAAAATAATACTTCAGAATGTTTCAGGTACACAGAGTTCTTTTAGCCTTGGCTCGTGGGAGCCTCTTGAGTTTGCCATATGAGTGCTTTTGACCTGACTCTAGTAGTGTTTGGAAATTTTCTACTATCTGGTGTGTCTAGATGCTCCAGGTTCATCTTGTACATTTCCTGCCCTACCCTGGGAAATGGTGTTCCAGAACTATAAGCAAAAGAGATAGCCTCTGCTATTGAGTTGGTCATTATTTCCGCAAAACAGAACTAGGAAATACATATTGTGTTATTTTGAGACTAATGCATTATTAGAAGACATGGATATTTCCAGTTCAAATTCAAGACTACATTATTTTTATTTAACCAAATTGATCCTAATCAATATCCCCTAAACCCAGAATCCTTGTCCTCATCATAATTACTCATTTACTTTATCCCAGTAATATGTATTAATATATAGAGTCTCATAAAGGATTAATCTCTGAAATATACAAGCAGTTCATACAGCTCAATATCAGAAAAACAAACCCAATTAAAAAATGGGAAGAAGACCTAAATAGACATTCTCCAAAGAAGATATACAGATGGCAAATAGACACATGAAAAAATGCTCAACATTGCTTATTTTTAGAGAAATGCAAATTAAAACTGCAATGAGATATCACCTCACACCAGTTGGAATAGCCATCATCAAAGAATATACAAAGTGTGAATGCTGGAGACAGTGTGGAGGAAAGGGAACGCCTTTGCACAGCTGGTAGAAATGTAAATTGATACAGCCACTATGGAGAGTATGGAAACTTAAAAAACCGGGAATAAAACTGCCATATAACCAGCATCCCACTACCAGACATACCCTGTGAAAACCACAACTCTGAAAGATGTATGTACCCCAGTGTTCATAGCAGCACTATTTACAATAGCCAGGACATCAAAGCAACCTAGTAGATGTCCATCAACAGATGAATGGATAAAGAAGTTGTGGTACATATATATGATGGACTATTTCTCAGCCATAAAAAGGAACAAATTTGAGGCAGTTCTAGTGTGGTGGATGAACCTAGAGCCTGTTAGACAGAGTGAAGTAAGTCAGGAAGAGAAAAACAGATATTGAGTATTAATGGATATATATGGACTATAGAAAGATGTACTGATGAAACTGTTTGCAGGGCAGCAGTAGAGACACAGACGTAGAGAACAGACTTGTGGACACAGTGGGGGAAGTACAGGGTGGGATGAATTGAGAGAGAAGTATTGAAACATATAGATTACCACATGCAAAATAGGTAGCAGTGGGAAGCTGCTGTGTAACACAGGGAGTTCAACCTGGTACTCTGCGAGGATCTAGAGGGACTGGATAGATGGGAGATGGGAGGGAGGTTCAGAAGGGAGGGAACAGTGTATACCTGTGGCTGATTCATGTTGATGTATGGCAGAAACCAACACAACATTATAAAGTGATTATCCTCCACTTAAAAACAATAATAAGAACTATATACACAGAACAAAACATATGCATAGTCTAAAGTCTGATTTACAAAAAACAAGGTATATTCAGAAAAATCTAGCTTCCATCCCTGTCCACTCTACCATTACTCTTTCCCCATTTCCACCTCCCCCCACCCCCAGTTTTTAGTTCATACTTTTGTTTAAAAAAATAAGCAAATAGTTGCATTCATTATCTCCTCACCTTCTTAAGTAGTAACATTGTTATTCTTTTGCTAAGTTGTGTCCAACTCTTTGTGACCCCATGGACTGCAGCATGCCAGTCTTCCCTGTTCTTCAGTATCTCCTGGGGTTTGCTTAAACTCATGTCTGTTGAGTTGCTAATGCTATCCAATGGTCTCATCCTCTGTCTCCCCCTTCTCCTCCTGCCCTCAATCTTTCCCAGCATCGAGGCCTTTTCCAATGAGTCAGCTCATTGCATCAAGTGGCTCAAGTATTGGAGCTTCAACTTGAGTATCAGGCCTTCCAGTGAATATTCAGGACTGATTTCCTTTAGGAAGGACTGGTTTGATCTCCTTGCTGTCCATGGGACTCTCAAGAGTCTTCTCCACCTCCACAGTTTGAAAGCATCAATTCTTCAGCACTCAGCCCTCTTTATGGACTAACTCTCACATCTGTACATGACTATTAGAAAAATATAGCTTTGACTATATGGGCCTTTGTTGGCAAAGTGATGTCTCTAGTTTTTAATACACTGTCTAGGTTTGTCATAGCTTTTTTCCCAAGAAGGAAGTGTCTTAATTTCATGGCTTCAGTCACTGTCTGTAGTGATTTTATAACCCAAGAAAATAAAATGTCACTGTTTCCACTTTTCCCCCATCTGTTTGCCAGGAAGTGATGGGACTGCATGCCATGATCTTAGTTTTTTGAATGTTGGGTTTTAAGCCAGCTCTTTTACTCACCTCTTTCACCCTGATCAAGAGGCTCTTTAGTTCCTCTTCACTTTCTGCCATTAGAGTGGTATCATCTGCATAGCTGAGGTTGTTGATATTTATCCTGGCAATCTTAATTCTAGCTTGTGAGTCATTCAGCCCAGCATCTCGCTTGATGTAACCTAGCCTATTAAAAAGCAGAGATATCACTTTGCCGACAAAGGTCCATATAGTCAAAGCTATGGTTTTCAGTAGTCATGTACGGATGTGAGAGTTGGCGCATAAAGAAGATTGAGTGCTAAAGAATTGATGCTTTTGAATTGTGGTGCTGGAGAAGACTCCTGAGAGTCCCTTGGACAGCACAATCAAATCAGTCATTCCTAAAGGAAATTAACCCCTGAATATTCACTGGAAGGACTGATGTTTAAGCTGAAGCTACAGTACTTTTGCCACCTGATGCAAAGAGCTGACTCATTGGAAAAGACCCTGATGCTGGGAAACATTGAGAGCAGGAATAAAAGGGGGTGACAGGATGAGATGGTTGGATGGCATCATTAACTTAATGGACATGAGTTCGAGCAAACTCTGTGTGATAGTGAAGAACAGGGAAGCCTGGGGTGTTGCAGTCCATGCAATTGCAAAGAATCAGACACTCCTTAGTGGCTGAACAACAGCAAACCATGTGTATGTTATATCCCTGTGACTTTTTTAGGAATTTATTTTCCTCAAGAGAAATTCTGATCACATCATGCTTATTCTAAGTCTCTCTCTTTTTTTTTTTTTTGCACTTCATTCTTGAGCAATGCAGGAGTTAGAGGTGCTCACCCTCTGTGCAGTTAGAAATCTGTGTATAACTTCTAGTTGGCCCTCTGTATACATGGTTTCTCCCTATCTGGATTTAATTAACCATGGATAGTGTAGAACTGTAGTATTAATTGTTGAAAAAAATCTGTATTTAAATGGATCCATATAGTTCAAACCCATTTTGTTCAAGGGTCAAGTGTATTTCCAATTTGATTTATCAAAGAAAAACTCCATCCTAGTCATTTTGACTTAAACGTGGGTGACTGAGTCTACATTTGTATTACTGCAGTTTTTTTGATTGTGTACTCTTGGAGGACAATCTTCATCTAAGTGTAATCTTCAGTTAAAAGGAAAGGAGACATTTTGGTACTGCTCTAGGACCTTTTTTGGCCATTTAGTCTCTCTGAGTTTTATAATTCTGAAAATGATTCAAACTAGCAAGTTCTACTGTCTTTAAGGGTATCTTATTTAATGATTACACTTTACCAGCATTCAGCTTTCTGTAAAAGTTACTTGATTTCTCTTTTTCTTTTTTCCTCTAGTGCATTCCACTCTTCGTGCAACTTGTTTTGGAGAGATTAACCCGAGGGGTCAAAACTAGTGAGCTTCGTACTATGTGTCTTCAGGTTGCAATTGCTGCCTTGTACTACAACCCAGATTTGCTGCTACATACTTTAGAACGAATTCAGTTGCCTCACAACCCTGGACCTGTAACTGTACAATTTGTAAATCAGTGGATGAATGATACAGATTGTTTTCTTGGGTCTGTGTCTTTTTGATTTTACACTGCATTTCTGTTCTTGGAAAGTTGACTTGTAATATGCATGTATAATAGCATATTGAAAGATAGTTTTTATATCTAGGAATTTTTTAGTGTATTAACATAATATTAAATTTTTAGAGAATTAAGAATGTGTTTCAGGAGTATAATCTAGTGGAAAAGAACACAGGCTCTGAAAATTAGGTTTATTACCCTCCCTCACTTGTTTTTGACTTACATGTATCATTATATGTCTTGTCAACAGAATTAAGGGTTTACTTGGGTTCCTTGACTTTAAGTGTCTGTAAGTAATAACACCCTGAATGAAGTAATGTTTCTAAGGAAAGTACTAGTCTGGTAAAAATATGAAAACCTCAAGGAAGCCCGTTCTCAAATGTGAAATCAGAGGATTGTTAGCTATAGTCCAGATCCTATCCTGGTAGGAGGGTTTGGCTTTGTGTGAAGCACTCTCCTAGCTTTCCAACATAGGAAAAGTGAGATCCTAAGTCATAGTCAGATAATTACAATGGTGTGATCACTCATCTAGAGCCAGACATCCTGGAATGTGAAGTCAGGTGGGCCTTAGAAAGCATCAGTACGAACAAAGCTAGTGGATGTGATGGAATTCCAGTTGAGCTATTTCAAATCCTGAAAGATGATGCTGTGA